CAATGCTAGTTTTATATAAACTTTTACTGCCATAAGAACCTCTAGTGTTTATCGACAGCTTTACCCATGATATAAGTCAACCTAAATAATTAAAAACAACAAAAATAAATTCAACTCAACAAATTTTTTTACGGAAATAATACGTATTCTACTGTACCATTATTAAAATACAGTAGAAAACTGAAGTATAATATTATTTGGTGACAAAAAGCAGCCGATAATACTTTTTGACCTTCTAATTATTCATATTTAAATTATATTATGTACAATAACATATTTCAAACTGGTTGCCATAGAATTTGAATAATTAAAAAGCATTACCAACATGTGTTGCTATTCTGGCACATGCTAAAAACGGTGTCCCATGGTTTATTTTTCATTTATGAATAACTACTATATTGCATGTATAGGTATGTATTTAGAACATGGCAAGACCTTGCTTAGTGGATTATATTAATAAATAAATTGAAGTTTCGATTTGTTATGTTAAAATAACAGTTTTTTAACAAATGCATATGAATGAATGTATATACGGTACTAATAAGAAAAAAAATATTTTTTCGTCTGTCTGTTTGTTCCGGCTAATCTCCGAGAGAGCTGGACCGATTTTGCCGGGACTTTCTCTGGTAGGTAGCTAATGTTATAGGCAGTAACTTAGACTACTTTTATAAGAAGAATTAGAGATCCGCGCAAAAAATGAAAACCTATGAAATTGCAATAGTCGCTAGTCCAGAGTATACTATGTAAGCTTACAGCTACTCACTGGATCACTCAATTACACTTATACACAAACTTTTCATATACAATATATAATTTGACGACACGTTTGGCTCAGTTTGTAGTGACCCTACCCGCTGTGCCAGCGGTCGCGGGTTCCAGTCTCGCTGGGGGTATTCATTTGTGTGATGAGCACGAATGTTTGTACTCCGCTCATGGGTGTTTATATTTGTAATATGTATGCATTTAAAGTTATATATATGTAGTGTATTAACTATCTGGTACCCATAACACAAGCCTCGTAGCTTATCATGGAACTAGATGGTGATAAGCGGGATAGGGATCAAAGGTATCCTATGTTCGATCCCAGGTTGCATTCTATGTCCTGCTAAACTTTATTGAAATCTGTTCAGCGGTTGAAGCGTGAAAAGATATAATAGAAAGAGTTATTTTCACATTTATAATATAATTACGGAAGTAATAAGTATGTATTAGTTTAATGCTTAAACCTCAACTTAAATAATTATAAGATAGATTACAATCTCTACTTAATATTATAAAGAGGAAAGATTTGATTTTTTGTTTGTTTGTTTGTACTGAATAGGCTCCGAAACTACTGAACCGATTTAGATGAAATTTGGTAAACAGATAGTTTGAGAGCCTGGGAAGGTCATAGGATATCGATTTCGGAAATCATTCCTTAAAGGGGTGAAAATGGGGATGAAAGTTGGTATGAGGAATCAACCTAGAGTCAAACCCGAGCGAAGCGAGAGTGAGTATCTAGTATTTTATAAGTATATTCAGATCATAACACATTTTTACTCGTAAACAAATAACATATCTTATTATTTATAACTTATAATAACGGTTCAATTGAAAGGCATCTTCGTTGATATTCAACTCAAATATGATTGTCATGAGTCGATTTTTTCGGAGAAAGTTTTAAATAATCCTGATCCATCGTTACATAAAACTTGTAAGTTGTTCGCGTCTCAACGGATAATCGAGTTTATACTTGGAAGGCCGCCATCAATCATTTATCCCGCCCGCGGATGGATCTGTGCCGTGCTACGCGCAAAAACTTTAAAGTGCTCCCTGTAACTGTGACGTATCGCACACTTGATCATTTGCTCGACCTACTTGAATTATAAGTTTAGCATGTTAACTTATTGCATTACCTTAACCATAAATCCTTTCCACGACGGAAATGCATCATAGCAACCATAATTTGTCCTGTTGCTACAATAAATACATACAAATACCAGAGCAATACAAATTACAATACAATAACAATACAAATACTGAAATATTAATTAATGATATTTAAAAGAGAAATATCGATTCGAATCAGTACGAGTATATTATTAACTATTGCTAATGTCGCCGGGAACCAAATAGGGATAATACTCTGTGGTCTAGTCTTTTTAACTAAAAACAAATTAAACGTATTTATTCCACCTTTGAAAGGGTGAAACTTTTTCTAGAAAACTATATAGGAAGTCCATTCGTATGTAATGATTTTACTGACATACACATAAAAAGTACACCCATTCTCTATTTTTGAAGTCGGTTTTACGTTCTAAAACTACCGTGAAAAAAGAGAGGCGCTTAGATAGAAAATGATATAAAATCTTAAGATTGGTGAAAAATTTCAAAAACTTTTAACACTAAAAACCAAATAATGAAAGAAAAAATGTTTTAAATAACCATATATGTATTACTATTACCGTATTAAAAGATTACTTTAGAAATATTTTAATGAAACGTATATACTGTAACGTCTGTATGTACAGTGTACACGTAATATCTACAGCACCTCCATGTACTGTATGTTGTATGTTCAGTGTATAAGTATATTCTGAAGAGCTCTTTGCCACTCTTGGTGTACCACAAAGCAGCGTACCTCGACAGTTGATATTTACATTTTACATCACATGTTGCACATTGCGTGAGACACAATAGAGGCGTAAACGTTCCGTTGCCATTTTATTTATTATCAAATAATTATCATACACATATGTATGATTTATATTAAACGCCTACAATAAAAATATTTTTAAAATTCAAACTCAAATTAATATGTACCTAGAGAAAAAAATTACGTACGATACAGCACTGTAATGTCCGTCTGTCATTTGAGATATATTATAAAGTTTAAAAACTATAAACAATACATTAAATTTTCTATTTTGGCAGCTATTATCCATTAATAGATGAGATTATTAATTTCAGATAACATCAGTTTCATTTAAAAGCCGCCGCCACAACTCAGGCCTACTATAAAATCAATAATCGCAGTACTCGTATGTAGCAGACCGCAGGAATGCAAATAACACAAAAGAAGTAGAGAATCGATGTAGATAGCTCCTCGTATGAGTGTTTTATGAGCACTTAAGTGGCTTCCGGACGAGGGATGTTTAAAACTCCTGCTCACGAGTATCGAAGCGGGATCGAGGAGGCTCCACTCAAAACATGACAATGTCAGATTTGATCGCGACCAAGGACACTTTTATGGACGGTTAAAAGTTTATGAATACGTTTACAATGTTTTCGAAATTAAGGTTTTATACGCAACCATTTTCTCGTAAAGTAAAACTATGTCGTGAAAATGTTAGAGAATGTTAGAGTAGAAATGCCAAAACTATGTCGACACCATAAAGCGTAAACTAATATAAAAATGAAAATATTGTTTATAGTTATAGTTAGTGTAAACTATACTAACGAATTCATTCGTTTGAATTGTAGGCAGTTTTTAGAAGGTAAAAACATATAATAAATTATTTTTTTTATACAGGTAATATTTACAGAAAACGATAATAATTCAAGATGATACTATTCATAAATAATTAGTAGTTCTATTTCTTTAACGTAGCAGACTTAAAGAGCTACGTTCAACATGTTTAAATTTATCAAATATTTCACGCTACTTTGTACTTATAGTGAAAGTACATCGTGTCTTATAAAATATTTTCGAATGCAGTAAGCTAGAGAAATTTATTTTCGTATGCAAAGGCGACAATATTCTGAGTTTCAACTGCAAAGAGCCCTTCAGAAAGCTCTAACAATACAGCATCGCAAAAATTAAATTACGACGAATCCCAGCAGGTTTCAATTTTCAAAAAGCTCGGTAAACTTGAGACGGGGAATCTTATTGCTTTTTATGGAATATTATTACATTTGCGTTTGTGAAACCTCTATAGTTTTGTATTAATATTTTTGCTAGTATGTAGAGTACAAAAAATAATTTGCATACGGAAGCGATTCAGACTGCAAAAGAAATGTAACAATATTCGAAAATAAACAAGTGATTCTATTTAGAAACAAACTTGCAAAGCCTTTGAAATTAAACTGAACAAGAAACATGACCGTTGATGCTAAGTAACGTAAATAGAAACTGTTAATTTGAAACTGCAAAAAGTGTCGCCAGAGAACAAATTAGAGGGAATGGAATATAGTTTACTTAAAGTTAAACTTATTACGGTCCTCGAGAAACAAGCTCTCGCAGGCCCGCTCGGTGCGCGGGTCAAGTGCCCAATTTGTCACCCGTGCAAACTTCCGACTACTTCGGCCGGTCCCTGTTCGATTCCATTAAACTTTCAAGACCTTTTGAAGCTATTTTCTTGTTTGAATCAAGATTTGTCTAATTCATTCTTAGGTGCCTACTTAATTATGTAAAAAATACAGTATGATTTTGACATTCACGTCTCTATACTTATGGATATTTAAATGTCTGTCCGTGTTTAAACATAGTTTCATATTAAGATCATATGGTTCTTTGTCGTAATATTAACTTCATATACGAAGCTATTCAGAAATCTTAAAAATAAAACAAATTGTCTATTTGTTTGTACCCACATATCTCCAGAACAGCTGAACCGAAGAGACAAAAGTTATTTTAACCGACTTTTATAAAGATAGGTGTACACATTTCGGGTATAACGCAAGTTTTTTGTTTTCGATAGTTGTAAGCCAATTTTTAATATTGTCTAACAAAACGTTCATACTACATGATTGGTACCATATAAATTCAAAAAAAATCCTAAAAGTGAAATAAATACATTAAATTAAATTTGAAGTCGATGTACCGTTTTAGATAAATAGTTATGATAAAACCTATTTCAAAATAAAATCCTGATAGACACCACTTTTTTGTAAGCGAAATCAAATTATTGCAAAGGATTATTTATCATCTGTCTTATAATGTAGAGTCTGCTACTGAACAAAGATGCAAATCTAAATAAAACCATTTCTGGGACACTTACAATGCGCTATCATAAAAATTAAATTAAGGTAAGAGTTTCTCTGAAAGTGTGCGCAATTTCAGCAGGCCCCGGCGCGGGGGGCAAGGGATACGCCACATCAAAGCGCCTCATTCTGCGTCGAGTTCTCGCACAAATCAAATTTAACAGCTCTCTTCTTTCGTTACGGATGCGCAACGCAAAGTTCCTGACCTGTACTATAAAATTCACCTACATATGTACATATGTCTAACATACCATTTTAACTTACATTTCAGCGATATAAGTAAAAGCATAGGTATTATTTTTGTAAAGTACATCATTTTAAAATAAATGAAAGTGTCACTGAAATATATACCTTAAATTGCCAAGTTGGAGCCATAACATACATATGTATATTAATTATTATTAATAATAATCTATTATATATTATATATATATATATATATATATATATATATATATATATATATATATATATATTCTTCCATAAGGTATTACATTTTAATTAATAAAATAGAAATTATTATGGTAAATTATATAGTTATATAAGTACCTTAGATTGTTATTGCTGGATCAAATAGTTTATTTGTCAGAGAACATTAACTTGCACCCGCGAACTTGTCGGACGGTGCAATTCGATTAAACTTCTGCTGAAGTACCAACAAGAGAAGGGCCTACTTAACAAAAGTTGGATGTACATTTACGGCGGGAATTTAATTAGCTTACTCATCAGTGAAACGAACTGCCTACGGTGAGCATTACAACCTATACATAACCTCAGTTTGAGCACTTTCCAACAAAATCTATTTTAAACAAAAACTACTTACGACTTGACAAAATGTACTAAACAAAGCCAGTTTCAGCTCGGCTACTTATCTTCTAACTTAGATTGAACGGAAGTTTCCTTGCGTACACGTTCAATAAGCATATGCGGTAAAAAGGCAAGGCCGCAGGCATATTCTTATTACGTCTTTATTTTTTATGGCTCATCAGTAACGAATATAAATGTTACAGTTATAATATAAAAAATAATGTTTCAATGTAGGGTATAATCTAATAATATCTTTCCAAGGGAGAAATTTTCTCAGCTAGTACATTACGAAAATAACTACACAATTAGGTTATATTATGGGTTATCCATAACACAAGCCTCGTAGCTTACCATGGAACTAGATGGTGCTATGTGTTAATGTCCCAACATATATTATTATTTATTTATTATTATCATAAATAAATAGTTATTATCTTTATTCATATGTACAAATATATAAAAGGAATTTGTCTGACTGACTGATCTATCTACGCACAGCACAAACCATTGAACGGATTGGGTTGAAATTTGGCACACAGATAGTTAATATGTATATGACGTAGGCATGTGCTAAGAACGAATTTTTGAAAATTCAACACTCAGAGGTGAAACGGGGGTTCAAATTTGTATGGTGAAATCATATTAGAGAGATGTATGAATTCAAAAATTCGGAGGATTACTGCTGTCAACAAGTAGATACATATATACATACGTGTTTCGTGCTTTTTCAAACACAACCCCTTCATGGTGTGAAAAGAGGTAAATAGTCAAAAATCAAACTACGCGCGAGCGAAGTCGCGGGTAAATCTATTATTTACTATTATATACGAGTATATTATAAAAAGTTATAGTGGTTTCGAAGACTGAGTAACGAATTTTAGGAGGCGTTTGGATGCGTGTTGATAAAAGAAAGGAATGATAGGTATTTGCCAGCCGTACTCACAAAAGAGAAATGAAGGAACACTGGAAACCCCCCAAAAATGTCTATTGTCCTAGAAAACACCAGCTTTTAATCATGTATTAATACACCATATTAGTACAATATCATTATTGTGATATTTGAAGCCAATATTAATTTCTATATATATAAAAATATCGGAGATTGTCTATAAAAATATATGTAGATTTTTTTATAAAACCAAGGTTTTATTACACTTCATTCGGTTTCTTTAACTTTTACTATCATCGAACAGCGAACGCCAACTTATACATTCAAATAGGTATATATCATGTCGAAGTCCACATTTTTTTAAAACTTTGCCTAACTTATAAAATTATTATATAATAATAGCAGTCTATAACAGAATGATATTTGTTATAAAATAATCTCTTACCTTCGGATAGGAAAAGGCGGTCGGAATCAGAAGGCTGATCGGGGGCAGGGCGATGACGAAGCGTGACATGCAGAGAGGGTCCGCGCGGTGGGACTTCAGGAGGCGCAGGCTCTGGTGGTGAATCACATTCGCGCTCGCTTTGACCGGCACTTGAGGGGCCTTTCATATGAAAAATAAAACCTTAGTTTTATTTTACAAAAAATCAATAAAAATTAATAGCCGTGGTACTTTTTCAAAAAAATAATCAAATGAGTGTTAGACACATGCAAAGTAGATAGATACCTATAACAATACATATTTTGAAAATATTTTTTTTTAAAGTTAGCTTTATAAATTTTTAATAATTTACATATATGTTGCTAGAATTATTTATTTATATATAAGACATTGTATTCCTCATAATAAGCAAGTTTGTTGTTTAATACTTTGCATTTTATTTTTTAATGAAAAATAAATCCTCAAAGCATAATTATAAATATTACGCTATAGGCGGCCACCATGAGAGTTTATATAAAAACGTCTTAACTTTTCCCACCCATTTGGTATATATTTGAATATAATAGAGTATGAAATTTTGACGTAAATCTATTTTTTTATCTACGCTACTGTTATAAAGTGGAAAGATTTGTATTTTTGAACGAAGATTTGTATTTTTGTGTTACGTTTGTAACGAATAAACTCAAGAACTACTGGACCGATTTAGATGAAATTTGGTAAGAAAATAGTTTGAGACCCTGGGAAAGACATAGAATATTTTAATTCCGGAAATCATCCCTTAAGGGGGTGAAAATGGGGATGAAAGTTTGTATGGGGAATCAATCTAGGAACGAACCCGTTTTGATTAAGTTTTGTAATTCTTATTTAAAATAACTGCATAATTTTAATCATTAATGTTGCTTTTGAATTTGTTTAGCTCCCCGTATAGAACTTTATGTCAAGCAAAATAACAAACATTTCGACGCTACAACAAACGTACAAAAACAAACAAACTTGGATTTTATGAGAGTCAATTTATTATTTTGAGGATCAGGAAAAAATTCGAAACCAAAACTGAATCTAACAGAACCGCTGGTTCTTCTAAAAAGAGGTTATTGCTATTTGGGCTGATATAGATTTCAAATGGTATCATAAATTTTGACTCTGAATCATACTAATACCTATATCACTTTCTACTTCCTAGCCATACAAATAGTGCTCGCTGTTCAAACATGACAACGCTGAACTACGAGTATGTACATCGAACGTATGATGTCCATAGTTATCACTTGAGATCTTGTATATGCAACATTTTACAACGGCATGCTAGAAATGTCTCACAGAAATTAAATATATATATCAAAGTACAACATTTCCTTTTATATGAAATGAAATTCTCGTAAGTACTACGGCTTAGTTTTAAAAAACCCCATACTTTTATTCTCAAACGCTGTAATACTAAAGACAAGAATTTTTGTAAGATTTGTAAAATTGTTAATTATTTTTCTTACTTATTTTAACTGTTCAATAAATTAATAAAAGTTCATTTCACATTCATTTTAACTCAAAATACGATGATCTTTGATCATTTGCGCAAACATTTATTATAGATAATAATTAAATGAAATTCAACTTTATTACTATTATTATTATTTAGTTCAAAATAATTTATAACCTCTGCCTTTTTTAGTACATAAAAAATTTCAGCCAAAAGGCAACTTTAAGGCCATCACCATAATAAAAAAAATGATGAAATTCGACTGTTTCACAACCTATACCTTAGTATATGTATACAGATAGCCAAGTGCATAAAGGGCAAGGTAAAAAGGATGGGGTACGATTTTCCCCTCACTTAGGTATGATCAGCCCCTTTTAGTCAGACTATTGATGCTGCAAATATTTTTAAAGTAAGTCGGCCATTCAGATTAAACGCAGGTCAATGATCTTAGTCTCAGATAAACTGATATGATAAATATATTTAAAAATAACTCGCTTCGCTCAAGTGTTCGAAAAACTCTAGAAAAAAATTCAATAGAATCTTGTATAATTGCCAACCTTTGCGGCTCAGTTTGGCTAGTGTGTAACTCGCTGTGCCTATTTCGACGGTCGCGGGTTCTTTCCCGCGCCTCAAACATATCATTTGTTATTCAGAATGTTATTTTGCTAAATTTATAATTTGTGTACTAAGCTGTATTTTAAGATTTTACTACAGATTTTTAGATCTATCCCACAGGAACTCTTTAACTTTGCTGGAATAAAAAGTGTAAAGATATAATAAGGTACCAACATATAAAATTTCATTTAAATCGGTCCCAAGTTTTGGAGATTCCTTATAATAGAGAAACTAATGAAAAAAATCTGGAGGTTTTGTTTTGGTATATACACGGTGTATTAAATGCAGATATTAGTACTATCTCGTTCATTTAATTGTAAAAACAAGAAAAAGAGAATTTGTAAAAAAAGTTTTATTATATTTATAATTTATAAACTTCTTATTATATTGATAATTTTCTATCGACCTTTTTAAGTGCCTTACAATTTTCTTGTACAATGTTTTGATCTATAAAACGATAATTGAGCCAGCGGTAGCTATAAATTTCTAAGGACAATTTGTGTAATTTAACTTGTACTGAACCTAATTTGCCTGTCGTAAAGGGTATCTAAAATGAATTGCAAAACTCAATAATTGCGTCTAATAAAAGTTCGTCGTAATCATACAGATGCTTGACACAACAAAGATTTGTTGATTAAGTAATCTATGAAAATTGCATTAACTAAAAGATGTACAAATAGTCTTTAAATAATTTAGTATAAAATGAAGTCGCTTCCGCTGTCTGTTCACTTAAACCTTTTAAACTTCGGAACGGATTTTAATGCAGTTTTCAGCAATAGATAGAGTGATTCAATGGGAAGGTTTATATGTATAATACATGCATATTATAGTACAGAAAAGTCGAGAAATTCAAATAATTGTATTTCATACTAACCGTTAAAACCTACCGTATAATATTATTTTATAAAATACTAGCAGCTCACCCTCGCTTCGCTCGGGTTTGTCGCTAGGTACGTTTTACATAGATATAAATAGTAATCTATCCCACGGGAACCGTACATTTTAGCCATATAATTTTTTTATTTGTTAATAATATTGACCTATATTATTGACAGTTTAATATACGATACTAACGTCACTCAATTGTTTTAGCCTGTCCCACGGAACATACTCCACTAATCCACATGAACAGTATTCACGCGAGGTATTATTAGCGTATAGTATTAAAGTTCTATACCGATTTCTATGATTCTTTTTTATGGTATTATTATGTTAACTTTTTTGTATGGGATGACTGAGAAAAGTGTTCTGTTTTTAGACTTTTTCAGTCAGAAAGTTTCGAACTGTTTAAATTGAAGTTCTTTCCGTAAGGACCGTTCGCTTAGACCTAAACTTCTGAACGGAATATTCTAAAAAAGAATTCAGCGATAGATAGAGTGATTCAAGCTGCTGTCAAGATTTGCGCTTACCAACACATTCAGCGATTCATTTTTATATTATAGAGATTTTATAAAATATTTTTATTATAATTAAAAAATGTTTATAGTAAATCACAGCGTTCTATAATATTATCAACGTAATTAATATTATCATATCAAACAGTAGCTTGAGAATTCGGTAACAAAATTACACTTTGATCTAGTTAAGTTTAAATCCCGTTGGCCTATAAACAAAACAACAAAGGAAATTATGACGAGAAAGTAATCATATAACGCATAATTGACGTAATATTATGTTCGCTCAGTCACGTACTTGCGCGAAACTATTCCGAGCATCCTTATCACAGGCATGCACCCACCTCCACATAACGCTTATAATAGGCATGCTACAGAATGTCTAACAATAACTATACTGGAATCTCACTAAATACACTTGATGCTTTCATTCCCTACATTTTAGAAGATTGAGGTTAAAAACTTAAGCTAACTGTGTGAGCTAAATTATTGGAACATATGTACATAGTGTGCATATATAGTTTTTTTTAATTCTCATAATATATACAATTGTACTTATAAATTAAACGTGTTTGTATTCAGTCCTTTTTTAACGTCCCACTGCTGGGCAAGGGCCTCCCTTCAGTACGAGGGGAATCTTGCTAAGTTCTCTCAGACATGCAGGTTTCCTCACGATGTTTTCCTTCACCGTAAGGCAAGTGGTTATCATGTTGGCAATGATTCGCACATGAAAATATCGGAGGCGCGATACCTGGGATTTGAACCCGCTTCACTCGGTTTCCCAAGCGATCGCGTTACCACTGGGCTACCACTGCCTTTAAACGTGTTTATTTAATTTAAGTCGTTGATTACGTAAAAATATATGTATTCTAATAATTTTCATGTAGTAATGCACTTTTTTATTTTTATTTTGTACCTACATACATATTTATTTAGTTCAAATTAATAAAATTCATAAAACATTACCACAGCAAATCTTTTTCAATCATCCAATCAAATGGAAATTAAGCTCAAATTTAATAAAAAAATTTTAAAGTAAATATTACTCTTATTACTATTTTAATATACATAAAGCAAATCGATAGTAATAGATTGTTGAAAAAATTATACTCATAAATATTTATATATATATATATATATATATATATATATATATATATATATATATCATAACACTAACCATTCACATGGCACATTCGATTGTTGCGGTTATTCGTTTCATGGGAAAAGTCATCGGGCCTTCTATTTCGACGGGATAAAGTTCCACCTCCTGCATCACCGCTAAATATTTCCTCATCTGTAAAATATTGTATAGTTTAATATCATCTTGTCTTTCATAGTAGAAGTATGAATATTTAATTTAGAATAATACTATATTATGTACATTTTAATATAAAAAAATATTTGAGTGAATTGATAATAAAATATAAGACCAAAGATTAAAATCTGCTTGTGCCAAGTATTTTTACGAAGTTCTATTTTCGCTTCATAGAATTTACATAATGTAAAGAAGCTCGTGTCCATTTAAGGTGCAACTTTATGAAACGTCGAGCGAAAGAAATATATGATCGCGATATGATCCTCAAACGAAATTGCAAAAGTTTAAGAAGAAAACTACACGATGAAAACTGGTTTCTCTTTAAAATATTATAATTTTGTATGAAAATAAAATATTGAAAATTATATATATATTTACAAAAATTCTTTTAATAATAAGGACTAATATCTTTTAATTTAAAATCATCATATAAAACCGGTATATAAATGGTGCTTTAAAATTATTCATCTATTCTTCTTAGTCGTTACAGTCTTGACAGACTGGTCGTGGTCATCATATAGGTCTGTAACCCCACTCATCTCTATTATTTGCGTTTCTCGCACATTCATACAGTGGGACGTCTACTGCCGCTCCGACTTGGTCTGTCCACCTCATTGCCGATCTATCAAGCGCTCTAGTGCCCTCTACCCTTCCTTGCACCACTTATCGCTCGATGGCCACATTATTGCGTCTAGACACGAAACCAAAGTAGGTCAAGATTCAAGCCTGAACTATAGAGGAGAGACGCTGCTTGAAGCCGAAAAAGACGAATATACGATAATAGAACAAGCTCAATGACATGGCATAGGAGAAGCCTATGCTCAACAGTGGACAAAAACAGGCTAACTATGATGATAATAAATATAATAAGAAAGACTATACTAAAGACTAAATACGTATATATTTGCTATAACTACTACTAGAGATAAGTAAAGCTAAACAAAGTGAAACTATGTAAAGATATTAATCAATACAGTTTTAAATTTAAATATAGTATGGAAAAATATTATCTACTTTAAACCATAACAATTTAGCCTTATAAATGTCCAACTGATGGGCTCGGGCTTCTAAATATATAGAGGTAATTATAGTCCGCTAGCCAACTGCAAATTTGGCCTTCACCAACTTTTAGCTTGTTAGGTTTTATCGTATTAACAAGTTGTAATCAAGTTAAAAACTTTAAATAATTTGTAGTTACGTTAAAATGTTGCTCTTAGACTTTAAATAATATGTAGTAATTAAAATATATGAATGTTTTACCTTTAGAATTCCGATTTTTTCTATAGAAGCGTCGATTTGTACTTTCTAGAGGAAAAGGTGAAGCTTGTCTTTGGGGACTACTAATGTAGCACGGCCGATCTTCTCTATTCTCTGACCCATACATACGACGTTGTTCACCTACAAAAAGAAAATGTACCTTTGAAAAGATTGAAACGTAAAATTAAAGTTATATTTAATTTTTAGTAGTGTTCACTGCACCAAATGGTCGACGGTGATAATTATATTTACAATATAGGTACTGAATTAAAATTTTGTTTATACAGCAACTTGGTTAACAGCAACTAGTTACAAATAAATATTTAAATGTTAACAACTGTAATTTTAAAATTTATTTTTTTATGAGTGTAATAACAGAATAAGTGACTTTTATATGTACATACTTCATAAAAATCTTAAATTAATTTATTAACTGAACGCTTACACTGCTGAGCCTTTTTTTTTTTTTTTAACGTTGGGAAATGCATTTACGCACGACGTGTGGGACTCACCGGCGTAATACAGCCAGTACTACCCACTAAAACCCAACAAAACCTTCCGCCGTCTTAATGGGGCGTCGCAGGATCGCTTACGCATTCAACTACGACGCCCCGACGGCAGGTCTGCCAAAGCAGACCACCACAACCTTGGGGTTGCTCCAAGGTCCACTCTGCTATCAGAGAAGTACCAGGCCGCAAGGTACACCGCCCCCCGAAGAGGGCCACCTCCCACCGCCCACCGAAGTGGGCAACCTCCCTGTGCGTTTCTTAGCTTCGTACTACTACTACTGAGCCCCCCCACCACGACAAGGTGAACGCACGTTGGGGGGGAAACTGCTGAGCCTGACTCATGAAATTTTACACAGAGTTCCTTAATAATTATATAATTTTTATATATTAATTATATATATTATGTAAGGACGGTGAGCACTAAGGAAGGACTTAAAAAATTATCCCTTAAAGGGTTAATAGGAGATACATAAGTGTTTGTACGGAGGTTCGTCATTTTTGAACTTAGAAATATTATCGAAATTGGTACACCTGTAATAAATTATAAAAAAAACTATTTTTATTTACTATTTAGTCACAACTACGCATAATCCTTGATGATAAAAATGTGAACATGAAAACGCTCCAATCTACTGGATAAATTGAAATAAAACATACACCTGAACTAAAATATGACCAGCTATTTTAGAATAAAGCGTGAAATGCCAAATATTTAATATAGTGAGAAAAAGACAAAATTTTCAGAATATATTCTTTAACTTTGACCACGTTATAATATGAAAATAACAGTCACTGTTACGTAACATGGCTTTTTGTTTTAGTTCCGTATTATAAATATTTATAAACTTAAACAAAGGTACGTAGAAATAAAGTTATGAATTTATTAGAGCATGTATTTGACTCGGTAATTCAAAACAACAATAAACAAATATACACGAAGTGTAAATTAAGTAGCGAGCCCCCAGGCGCTGCTGTACACTTGGGCAACCAAGCCGTTGAATGCTTTATATTTGCTTTAAGTACTTATACTAATAATGAATTAATTAAGGTACTTGCTAGAGGCATAGAAATATTATATTTCATAATTTTCATAACTTTTCAAAAACAACAATATGAAAGTAGTTTTGCATAGGTATGTTATATTAAATGCCGACGGTTATGTACAGTATACATATACAAATATATATGCATGTAGGCGCTTAGCACTGGACACTACGACGTCAGAAATAAGATTTTTACATAAGACAGGTGTTTGTATTGATATTTTTGTCATTCTCACTGAAACAATTACGAGAGTGATTTTTTATTATATACCTTCTCAAGCCTAATGCCACAGACTACAGAGATAATATGTTTTAGCGTGCTATGTAAATTAAGATACATAAAATTATAGATGTACCCTAACTGTAACCTTTAGCAATAATGCTTATGGACTTCAGACGCTAAAAAAATCAGAATAAGCCTAGTCAAAACGTTAGTAAATCGAAATAATTTTGTTTTCATAAACTTTGCTGTCGTAGATAGATTCTCCGAAAATGTTCAAACAAGTTATAAAAGTTTACAGCTGTGAATTTAAATTAACAAATTCTTACATCTGATAAGCAAGTTCTCGGAGGTAAAAATATACTTTGGAAACGTTACAGTTGGGAAACGAAACGTGAATAAATTTGTACGTTGGGGGAACAAACCGACGGATGATGAACTGCAGCAAAACTTTTAAGCAAGTTTCCCCAACAAAAATGTCAAACATTTTAAATTCTAAATATAAAATTAACTGCTAACCACCAAACTGCCGGTCATATCAAATAATATAATATCGTTGGATATTTGTTGGCCGAAGTACATAGATATATTATTTTCATTGATTAAAACTTTACATTAGCAAGCTATGGCTATAATTTTTAAATTCACTACATACCGAGTTTCTACTAACTGGTTAAAAATTATCTTTAATATTTTCTCTTTAAAGTTTCTATAGTTTTCAAATAAAATAAGTGCCGAGCTTTAAACTTAAATCTTATATATAAAATTTCCATGTCACAATGTTTGTTACCGTACTCCTCCGAAACGGCTTTACCGATTTTTACCAAATTTTATATGCGTATTCAGTAGGTCTGAGAATCGGCTACTATCTATTTTCCATACCCCTAAGTGATAAGGATAAGGGTGGTCCTCCCAGACTCCACCCCCTAGTTTTACTATAAAATAGCTGTTATTATAGGATTTGAATGTAACATTAATGAAAGTTCCGGTTGGTATGTTGCCAAAGGCATAATATGAAAGTAAGCACCTTGCTCAACGAATCTACAAACTCAATTAACATCTAGAATAACTACAAAACGCTCTATATTAAACTTCATTATGATAAAGCATAGATAGAAGATTTTAATTTTAATAGCCACAAGAATATTTTATTAGATCTGTGCTTAATACTTTCTTAGATTTACGCGAATATTTGACATTTTAAATAAAACTATCTTTTCGGATTTTGTCGCGGATTTATTTGCAGACAGCCTACCCACAATTAACAATCATTTTGTTAATTGTGGGTAGGCTGTCTGTAACAACTATATCTTTAAGACATGTAACACCTCAGTCTCTCCCGTGACCATGGATGCTGTAAAGCATTCGAAACGTCGGGAAACAAAAATGCAAATAAATCCGCGACAAAATCCGAAAAGATAGTTTTATTTAAAATAGATCTGTGCTATTGATTTTCTGACTTCGGACCCGTGGTTACACTTTTTTGTTATACTGGTGTGACTACTAAGCATATCTATGATCGATGGTTAAATAAATTAAAATTACTATCCTTAATTAAGTTTAACTTTTTAAATTACACATAGAACAATTATATAGCTTAAATAATTAATACTATATTTTATATTTTTCTTTATAGTTATAAATATAATAATGGCAACACTAAATATAGATTACTAATTAATATTTTTAAAATTGTAATAATTATAAGAATAACAGCAAAAATTATATAAATAATATTCCATATTTAATTATAAAACTAATTAAAATTATAAAAATGTTTAAAGTTAAAAAATATTGTAAGGTAATTGGTGCAATTTTCATTTTGTTATTTGTGGGTAGGCTGTCTGTAACAACTATACCTTCGAGACATGTAACACCTCAGTCTCTCCCGTGACCATGGATGCTGTAAAGCATTCGAAACGTCGGGAACCAAAAATCAAAATAAATCCGCGAAAAATCCAAAAATATTGTTTTATTTTATTTAAAAGGTTATTGTGTCTTTATGGTTTTAGAGTAAACATAATGCATTATATATATTACTACTAATAATAGTAAAAAATGTAGTAATTACAAAAGTAATAGTCGAGCTCATAGGTATATTAAAACTTAACAAATATGATCAACTTGTAAGGCAACTAATTTGTTGGATGCTGCGGTTGCATATTGACCGCAAACTGCTCTGAGCCTTTAGCATCTCAGTATGAGTAATGGCTATGCCCTATGCCTGTAGTGGAGAAACGTGTCAATTCAATTATTAATTATGCATGTTTACGAGGATATCGCTCTTATATTATTTTAGTATATAATATTTGTATCAAAAAATACGTAAACTAATAAAATAATAATAGATTTTAAAAATAATAATAGTATAATTATAGGATCAAATATATATAAGAAATTGAAAACCGTCATACAGAAAATTACAAAAAAACAAATCATACTCTGGCAACTATTTAAAAAGTGTATTTATTTATTATTCATACAAAACTCTAAGAGAAGGCCACAAATAAATTAAAATAAATTATGACAATCTATGCTTATTTAACTCTCTAGCAACTAATATAAGACATGACGGCACTCATTTGCAAACTTTGACAAGTCCAGTTGTTTTTAATTGGCAGGCGTAACCACGAGTCGCACCTCTGACCGCTCTGGGAGTTGCCTTTGGCTAAATTTGCATTTTTCATTCTTTTGTGCATCGACATTGAGTACTGGACGTTCAAATTTCCACACCTTTGCATCTCTACTCTACCAACTAAAACTTAAAATAAAACAAATATTAATTTCCATTATCAGAAATGGAGAAACTTCCATAAAGACCATTACATTAACTTTCCCTTATAAACTAATGACTCGGCCACAGAATACTTAAGTAAAGACCCAAGAATAGCGTAACAAAGTTAAAACATTGTCCTTGGCGTAAACTTTCAAAGAGAATATTTATCAAATAATTCTTTGCCCAGGGAAAATAATATTCCTAGAGTCCCACAACAAAAATGACCTAAATTAAATTTTCACATTCAATCGGCTTCGTCTCGGCCGTTTGCCCCTGAGAACCATCGCCGTTGACTTTATAGCTACTTGACGCTGAGCCAAGCATTAATATATCAATTAATTATTATTATTAGGTAAGTCACGTATTTTTGAATTCATTATTATTATGTACGTTAACATTGTTTGGAGGAAAACAATTAACGGACAATAACAAAGTTGTATTAATGACTTGAACTCAGATTGTTGTCATTAAGCCAAGCCATATAAAACATCGAATCGCACAGCAAAACCACTTAGAACCATTTCCCTAGAATTGCGTGATAGCAACACTTAATTTACAAGCTCCATTTAATTTCAACTATTTTGAGGCTCACG